AAAAAAAAAAGAAAAAAATTGGGGTTTTGGAGAAAAAAATGTAAAAAAAAAAAGGGGGGGGGGTGGGGGGGGTTTTTTGGGGGTTTTTTAAATAAATTAGGGGAATTTTTAGAATAAGGGTTGTGATTAAGAAAGGGGGGGGGTTTTGGGGAAATAAAGATGAGGGGGGAAGGGGAAATTTTAAAATGGTGGGGTTGAATTTGAGGGGGGGGTTTTTTTTAAAGAAGGGGGGGGGGGGGGGGAAAAAAAGGGGGGTTGGGAAATTTTTTTTTGGGGGGGGTTTGTTTGGGTTTTTTTTAAATTTTTTTGGGAAAGGGGGATAAGATTTTTAAAAATTTTTTGGGGGGGGGGGGGGGGGGGGGGGGGGGTATTTTACGTTTGTACCCCTACGGTAGACAGACCCGTCCATCCATGGACATAAACTTGGTTGTACTGCTGTATGTAAACATCGAGGGTGCTCACCCGCGATGTAGCCGCCCATGCCACCGAAGGACTTGGTGAACGTCCCCATCATCACGTCCACGTCCTTCGTGTCCACGCCGCAGTACTCGCAGGCTCCCCGCCCCGTCTTGCCCAGGGCTCCGATGCTGTGCGCCTCGTCGAGGTAAACGTACGCCTTTCGGTCGCAAAGATGTTCAGCAGGAAACCGAAAACATTAGAATAATGTTTGAACAAAGAGTAATATTATGAGCACCGTACCGAGGATGGGTGGGAAATATTCCGAGAGGTCCGAAAAAGGGCCCAAGAGAAAAGCACAGCCACGAACAGGTGCATTCCACAGCGTACGCCCCCGACCCCGCCATCCCTGCTCTCCTGGTGAACCCCACCCCTCCAAATTCCTCCTCTCCACAGAACCCCCGCCCCTCCAAATTCCTGGTCCGGTGAGAACCCGGTGTGTTCCGTCCCGGCCTTATAGGGATGCGAGGTCAATGGTCTAACGACTACGGCATGCACGGACTATGAGTACAACCCTCCCCCCTCCTCCAAATTCCTCCGTTATTGGGTCCCCACCTTGTGCTTCTTGGCGACCTTGACGATTGGCGCGAGGTCAGCGACCTCGCCCTCCATGCTGTAGATACCCTCTACCACCACGAGAACCTTCTTCCACGGCCGGCGGGTCCTCGGCATGCCCATCACGATCGCCTCTCGCAGCACCTAAAATACATTCATACATAATGTAGCGCAGACAAAAGTGGAAACGGCAGTGAAGCGACACCAAGTCTTCGAATCTAGTGCCTAGCCATGCTTTGCAGCAGCAGAAGAATCATCATCATCATCATCAGCTGCAGACTACAATAGCAGCAGCAGCAGCAGCAGCAGCGACGACGACCACAGGGACCAAAAACCACTACACATTGGTGGTTGTTGTTGTCTTCCCATTGAAGAACATTAACCCTACGCTTAGTACTTCAAAGACACCCATGCCGGTCCAACTGAAGCGGGCGACGCCTGCCGTGGTCACATACACAACTGCTGTATGCATACACGCCAAAACCGGAATTATAGCAAGACACAAACGTCCTCTCACCGATTCCAGGTCCTCAGCGTCGTTGTGCTTGAACACTCGGATGTGCGCGCCGGCGGCCCTGCAGCCGCTGACGATGGACATGTGGTTCAGGCAGTCGCTCACCACCAAGGTACCCTGCCATCATCATCATCATCATCATCATCATCATCATTATCAACAGATGGCGACGGCGGTGAGACAAGAAAAACCACAAACGATGCGGTTGTGTATGTTGTACGGAGTATACTTGATCAAACCATGCACGCTCCACTATGATTATAATGATGCAGCTGTGGTTCGGGAAGTCGCTCACCACGAGGGTACCCTGCCACCGTCATCATCATCATCATCCACGCGTGGCGAAGGCGGTGAGACGAAAACGTCACAAAAATGATGCGAAATGAATACAGTAGTGTATGCGCCACGATGATCCCAACAATAGATTTAACCTTGGTTCGGGCAGCCGCTCAAGACGGAGGGAAAACGTCAAAAACAACGCGAAATGCATAGAGTCTACCACCACTATTATTTCCACCACCACCACCCACAAGCAACATCGACAAAGACAACAACCGTGGACGGACTTACAGCACTGCACAGGGCCGGGATGGTCGTGGCGTTAGTCCCGTACCCCATGTTAAACACCACGCAGTCCTCCTTGCCAAGAAATCTCGCCACGAGCTGCTCCAGCTCCACGTGCGACGACGTTGTTCCTGAAGAAGAAAAAAACAAAACAGATAGCCTTCGTTAATGGTTGTTGGCGACGCTGTTATTGTTGTCTTGACAATAAAAACCTTCATCTGTCGGTACTGATCTACCACTTGACGCGGTCGCGGGCCACCGCCATTGAACGGCATCACAAGCGGGCGCACCCCCTCGTGCAAGCACCAGGGAATGCTAAAACCCGCGTCTCTGCCATAGCCGTTTCTCTCTTCTCTCTCTCTGTCTTCTCTCTGTCTCTGTCTGTCTGTCTGTCTGTCTCTGTCTCTCCTTCTCTGTGTCTCGGTCTCTGTCTGTCTGTCTGTCTGTCTGTCTGTCTGTCGCTCTCTCTCTCTCTCTGTGTCTCTGTCTCTCTCTGCCTTCTCTCTCTCTCTCTCTCTCTCTCTCTCTCTTCTCTCTCTCCCTCTCTCTCATTTCTTTTCTCTTCTCTTCTCTCACCGAAATCCTTGCGGTTGATCGAGCAAGCCACCGGCAGGGTGTCGAGCACCGGCATCACCCCGCTCCTGCAAGTTGCCCCCCAGTCGTCGGCGAAGCCCAGGTAGTTGTAGGAACCCAGGTTGAGCATTCGCTTCGTACGGTCGGTCCGCCTGAGGAAACGTGCACGCAGCAATGTCACCTTTAAGGCTCGGAGTCGCCCAAAACAAAAAAAACGTGAACTACTACCGTACTGCTTTGCAGACAACCGGAGGCATGAGAACCACACGTAGTAGTACAGGGGCAATTGTTGAATCTTAATGTCGCGACCATGTTTAAGGCGACCAAAACAAGAACAACAATGATAACAACGAGGCCAAGAATAAGAACAACAAGACAATCCAACACCCACAACAATAACAACGACAGACTCAACGGCTGGAACCTCCGGAAAACACAACAGCGTGGATCGTGAATCACACCCGACATAGAAAACCAACAGCGGCGAGAAATAACGCCACACCGGCAACGTCTCCCCCGACTTCACAACAAATGCCACGCGGAAAGCACGTTTGTTGACACCACCACCACCACCACCACCACGATTCTTTCCCGAGCCCCCCCCCCCGTGGGTCATCCTTTTGAAACGCAACCTGGGCCGGCAAAAACCCGGCATCTCCCTCCTCCGTCGCGGCGTCGTAGGGGTGCGAGGCCAATGGTCTAACGACTACGGCATGCGTTTACATGAGTAACCCCTCCCCCCCCCCCCCGTCCAGTCTCCACTCACTGGAGGGTTTTCATCCCGTCCTTGCTCTCCCGCTCGATGACCTCGATGTGTGCGCCCGGCGAGCTGCAGACGGGTCGGTTCCAGCAGTGCTGCGCGAACACACAGTGCAGCAAAAGCACAACAAACAGCCGGGTTTACTGCAAAGACTTCAACACATCTCCTTCGACTTTGAGGTATTTCTCTCGAATGGGAAGTCCTTCTTTGATAGTATCTGTATGAATATTTCCGAAGAACATAGGGCGAAGGTCACACCCGTGAGCAAAACGAATCGTGGGTTGCGCAAGGTACCACACACCCTGAATCGATTTTCAAAGCTCGATCGCTCCACGATGAAAGACTGCCAGTCCCTCTAAGGGGTCCCGGGGGTGAGAAAAGGGGTCCCGTAGGTTCATCGATGTGTATGTATCGGTATCGACGTCTTTTTGCCGATAGATGAAAAATCAAAATCGTATCGAACTTTTCTCCCGGACCAGTCTCCAACACTGAAATAACAAACCACTGCGACCGCCCCCAAAGGGGGGCCCGCAGATGAAACATGAACAACATACCTGGATGCGGTGGTACAATCTGCGGGTGAAGAAGTTCTCGAAGCTCTTGAAGAGCGGGGCGTAGCCCTCCTTCGCTTGGAAGTCGTCCAGATATCGCGACCGCCGGAAAACCCTTTGGAAAAAAAAAAAAAAAATGAGCCGCACGACACGACAGGAGGAAAAAAACACACACACATTTCCTCAAAAGAGAAGAACAAAAATGCCGCGCTCGTACATCATGGGGAAACAGCAGTAATCGGCTAAAACGTTCACGTTTTCCTTTTTTCCAATCGACTTCACCCCAAGTTCACGCTAGACGTTTCCATCCACCGCCAACAGAGGCGCACTCTTCTAAATCGTCTTTCTCAGTGTGTGAGCTTTTCAAACCATCTACAACACTACTTGTGGGCGCCAATTTCGGCAAACACACATTTGACGGATTATCCGGGGCCATGCATGATGAAGGCAAACACTGTATGAATGACCCCCCCCCCCGATCATTTCCGAGAAAACTCCGAGGCAAGGCGAGGCAGGAAACGCAAATACTTTCCGAATCAACCGCCCTCCCCCAAAAAAAATCCGAGAAAATTCCGAGGCAAGGAAAGGCAGGGAACGCAAAGACTTTCCGAATCAACCGCCCTCCCCCCCAAAAAATCCGAGAAAATTCCGAGGCAAGGAAAGGCAGGGAACGCAAAGACTTTCCGAATGAACCCCCCTTCCCCCCCAAAAAAATCCCGAGAAATTCCGAGCCAAGGCAAGGCATCTCACTTTCCGACGAAGTCTCTGAGGTGTCCCATGCAAATAACCGCGATGAAAGTGAAGTACGTGGTCATGGTAGCGAACCACGTGATGCTCGGCTCTTCTCGTCGCCCTGGGAACCTATTCCGCCGGGTAAAAAAAAGAAACGAACCGGGAAACGGGGGTGGTGGGTCCGGATCTTCACGAATTCCGTGGAAGTACGTCATTTCGCAAAAAAAAAAAATGAATCCCAACAGAGGAAACGGGGCACGATGGAGGGTGGATGGTTCCTAACCCGCCGGCCGTCTCTAGCGAGGGGAGAAGACCGATCTTCGTCGAGAGCTCAACCCCATCGCGACAGGAGGCGCGGTTCGGTCCGCGTGACCACATTTCACGCATGCACCCAAAATACAGTCTTCCATTGTGCTGTACGCGTATGCTACACCTGCCTTCTGTTGTCACCTTGGACAGGTTAGACAAAGCGATTGTAGCAACAGTCTTATCTCATGGCAAAAAAAAAACAAATATCGAAGAATACTACGGGGAGAACAAGGGGGCTCCGCACTTTGCTTGAACCTCCCACCCCCCCTGTCCCGCTCTACTCAATCGATAACAAAGATGTCGTTCCCGTGCGCAACGCTTTCGGGTGTGACAGCCCGGTCGACCAATTCCGCCGCTTCCGCCCCATCCGTGCCGGTTGGAGTTTGCCTCTTCAACGCGTGTGAGTGGCAGACTGACACCAACGATGCATCTTTCCCTTCCCACTTATAAAATAAGATGTTTTACCGTCTCAGCGGAAAAAGATAAATATAGCTATGCATAGAGAGTTGTACTCCATAAACTGACAAACACCAACGATGCATCTTTTTTCCTTCCAACTTAAATGAGATGTTTTACCGTCTCGCCGGAAAAAAGACAAATGTAGCCAAGAAATTGCAAACCGTAAACTGACAAACACCGACATATCAGATAGCGTTGACTGCTGCGACTACGGGGACTCCTCCCTTCGCCTTTGGAGAGAAGGTAACAGGAGGTACTGGAAAGAGGTCAGAGACTTGTTTACGGGCGTAAACCAAGAACGGCCCCGTGACGATCTCGCTAGGTCAAGAGGTGATAATTTCATAACAAAATAAAGGACGGGCCGTTGGTGGGGGGGGGTTGATGCTGGATCGCCTGAGACACACACACACGCTACAAAATATTCGCGTGTTGTAGCTATCAGAGTTTATTGTCCGAATATTCTTGGTTCGGGTTAAGACATGGTACGAAACACTTGGTCCACATTGAGAAGGGGAAATGTTCGTTGTGACGCAACACCAGAGAAACGCCCACACACAACAGAAGTCGGTAGGTGAGACACAAACTGCGGTCCTCGGACACATAAGGCGTGCAAAAGAAAATGGATATAGACACCCTACGGTTATGAACAATAAAAAAACAGAAACAAAGAAAAGACGACTGCACCACACTCACGTTTCCGGAGCGTCGACGACTTCAAAGCGAAACTTCTTCCCCCGCTTATCCGCAGCAGCAGCAGCGGCAGCAGCGGCAGCGGCGGCGGCGGCGGCACTGGTAGTGCCCTCACCACAGCACGGCGCGGCCACGGCGACATCCCCCTTCACGTACCCGTTCGACACTCCCCCCCCCCCCTTAGCGTGGCCGTTAGCGGCCTTCCCCACGGCGCCCCCAGATCCATTCTCGTACGCCCTGGCCGCACCGGCGGCCTTCAGAACCCGCCCGCCCAAAAGAGGTTTGGGGCGCCCCCAATCAAGAACAGACAAGCACCGCGGCGAAGGAATAGAATGTTCAAGGGTCAAAAGGCTGTCAAAACCAAGGCGCCCACCGAGCGCTGCAACGCGCCACACGCAGCAAGAGAAGTTGGTACAAGTACGGCAGTACTTCAGAAATCGAGTTTTTAAGATTTGTCGAAACACACACAAAAGGAAGAACTTGATTCCGACTCTATTATCTAACCTAGAGCACAGCAGACGGAGGAAATAAAATGAGAGTTCGAGGGTTGCACGAAATAGGACATTCTTTAGTCGTGGTACGAACTGTAGTGTACATGTAGCCTACAATCCCTGAAAGATTACCGGTTCGAGAAATTACCTTAGCCTAGGGGCATGAGTGGGGGAGAAAACCTGTTGGGTGCTGGCTACCGTATACGACACACAAGATAAACACACCCCATGGACCGATTGTCAAAGCTCGATTTCTCAACAGCAGAAAGAGTCACAGCGCCGAAGAAAGAGTCACAGCGCCGAAGACGGTCGCGTCGAAGCCGTCTCGTCGAGAGAAAGCTTTCCGAAACTGTACCGTTTCGTTCATTCATCCTCTTGGTCGTGGCGTTAATCGAGCTTGGAAAATCGATCCAGGGGGTGCGTTTATCTTGTGTCGTATACGGTATCTCCCCTCGGCCACTGACCTCGGGAACAGTGAAACGTAATGTATGGTATCATCTACAGCACGAGTACCGGGGTCGTGCGGATGTTGCCACTATATCTTGAGGTTTTGCAGACTAGGCCTTTCGTCCACACTTCTCTCGCGAGTGACGGCGGTGTACTGCTGTACTCCGGCGGTCACGTAGTCTATGTACGTAGCCGTTGCAACTCAACCCAGGGTCGCTCGGGCCGTCCTCGTTTGGGACAAGAGTTCCAAATTGATGCCGTTACGTACACACACAGAGACACGAAAACTCCGTGCTTCTTCGAATATGGTAAAGAACACCGTCACCTTCCAGACATGACGCCGGTTTGTCAACGGCAACCGGAAGAAGAAAGAAAACTTGTTGAGCTGTGTCCACATTTTCAGAGCTAGAGTGTACACATCTTGCATGCTTGCTGCGCTCAAGAAGGAAGCGCTCTCCGACAAGGAGAGTAGGTATAGGGTAGATGGGTGACAATCTGTTGTGTGTCTCATCGTATTCACTCTGGACGGAAAATTTTGCACGTTCCGGTATGCTGTTTTCGACCCATCAGTCGGGGTCACACAGGAGGAAAGGGATCATGACGTGTGTTTGTGTTTGCATCTATTCCACCGCTGGTTAACAGGCCTTTTGGCGTATATACGTGACGTACCAGCCGGGGTCACAGAGGCGGAAGGTCACACAGGAGCTTTTTTCATTTTTTTGTGTTTTTGTTGTGATGCCCCACCTTGCCTTACCTGCGGTGCTTGCCTTACTTATTAATCGCGAGAGAAGGGTTCATCCTGATACACGTACGCATATTTGACAGGATTTCTCTTGTATTCTTGCGTGATACAGTCATCAAATACGAGTTTGCGCCGTGCATAAAACACATGCGAACGAAGAGCACAAGTCTGCAGCGGAGAGCAAAGGAAACGAGAGTGATATATACAGAAGCATAGCAAAAGCGTACATTCGGCAGAGCATAGGAGGGGAATGTATGTGCACCTTGCTGTGTAGAAAAACTACTGCTGGAAGTGACTTGCCTTCGAAATTCGAAGTACTAATACTTCCAAGAATATGAAAACTAGGTACATGTACGCATACATACCGTAAGAGGCGGAGAGATGGCACGCCCCCATTTCCCCAACATTGTATCATAGACCGAATATCAAAGCTCAATTACCAACACAAAAAAAAATCTCGTGGAGGTCTTTCCCTAAAATTATCGAGCACAACCAATCAAGCTTTGCAAGTCCATCTACAGCAGTAGGGGGGTGCCATCTCTCAACCTCTCCATCGGCGTACACACTACGTACGCATACAATGTAGCAGAGGGTACAACAATTCAGAGATTCCCGAGGGCAAGCTTGCTTGTAGACCAGCGACTACGATGGGAGCTGACAACAACGGTTCCACGCCCGTTGCCCATTGCTTAAGATTGAGCCGCTCCCTGTAGGTGATGGTGGGTATGGTTGGGGACCTCGCCCACCTTCCAACCAGCATGATCAGGCGAAGTGTTTTGTAACTGACTAAAACGCCCCCCTTGTACAACCAGCATGATCAGGCGAAGTGTTTTGTAACTGACTAAAACGCCCCCCTTGTACAACCAGCATGATCAGGCGAAGTGTTTTGTAACTGACTAAAACGTCTAGTACACTCTGCTTACGTTTTAGTGTGTGGGTGCCATGGAAGCTTTTTCCTACGAGTGCATGGACGAGCCCCGGCTGCCGCAGACTCCAAAAAAGGAATCAAAGGTGGAGGAGTGCAACGAAATCTCAGGAAGGAGCCATGCTGCAGATGCTGTGCTCCCCTACGGTGAGCTAGCAAACGTGCTTGGTTGCTCTACCTGCCGGCTCTCTGTTGTACGGACGGTTGCGACCCGTGAGATACGGCGGAGATGCCTGTACACACGGCGGCTATATCCCAGACAAAGACCCGCAAATTAGCATGGTAATTCCCGCCACGACTGGCGGACGGGAAGATAGAGGGAGGGGGAAGGCTCAACACTCATGACGACGCCAGCCAATTGGTCGCACGCAGGCGCGAGCCAAACCCGCTGCTGGGCAGAGCAGGAGGAGATTAGCCAAAGCAACAAAAGAACTATTTGTCTTCGATCCGTCCTAATTCGCCGCTCTTTGAAAACAAGTAAAAAAAACTCATGGCGAAGAGAAAACAAGACAACGGATTCAGCGCACCAACCGTGTGTTGCTGTTCTCCACACGCGCGCGCGTACACGCACACACACCTTGGAACCGAGCTCTCCTTCCGGGACGATGCACATCTGCGCCGTCTGCCTCGAGCCTTCCGCTGATAGCAGAGCAACCATCCGCCTGCCCTGCACTCCGCTCTCCTGCTGCTGCCCTGTGGGCTGCTGAACCGGTCCAAGCGGCGTTCTTTTTTTGAATCGGATATCAACGGGTGGTGCACACACCGCGCCAAGCTGCAAGCAGCAGAACCAACGGGAGGATAACACCTGCGCGAGGAGATCAGTTGCTTCCTGCTGTCCTACGGCTTCCGCTCTCTCTCTCTCTCTCTCTCTCTCTCTCTCTCTCTCTCTCTCTCTGTCGCAGCAGCAGCTGGTATCGTGATATCGTGATCAATGCCGTCCCGCCAGTCCGTGAATCGTCAGACGGGGGGGTTTGCAGATCAATCTGCGGCGCAATTACCAGCTGACGTCCCCCCATAGTTCGAAATTGTCGAAATAGCACAATTGCACATCTACCATCTACCTGTGGATCTCACTTTTACCTGGCATACGAAGGGCTCAGTGTGGCAGAGGCTGGGAGCAGGACGTTCTCGAGCGAAGCTTTCCCCCGCTCTCCTTTGCTTCGCCATTCACGTGCCTGAAGACCAGGGAGCTGCGAGGTGAGAGAAGAGGTGTGATTTGTCGAAACCTTTGTCTGGATCGTCGTGGGAAAATTCAAAATGCAGCAGCTCACGTTCTAGTAATGGTGGTTGCTCCTCTCAGCTCGGCACCATCAATGCCTCTCCTAACTCAAAGATGCGCCTTTCTCCGTTCAAAGGCAAAGAGTAGTTCCCATGCAATTCTCGCGCGCTTGCTCTTTACGTTGTTGTGTCTCCCGTGTATGTATAGATGCAAGAGCTCGTGTGTGTGTTTTGTGTTCCATCACGGCCAAAATTTTGAAAATCCACGAAATACCCAACGCTTGCCGGCGTCGCATGTTGCGTGTCTCCTTTCGCGAGCCACCAACGGACCAAGCAGTAGAACACCAGCATCTCAAAGCAACCAGCTACTGCAGGGGAATAGCACGCCAGTTTTACTCTAGGCATAGCTGCAGCAGTAGCTGCATGTCGCTGATCGTTTGTAAAATCGTGAGCCAGCCAGCCCCAACCGACATTTTTAAAAACGCCAGCTCCCGAGAAAGCGGCATGAACCGGCCACACAAAGCACGGCGGTTTTGTATCAAAAGCACCCCACGCAGGCATCCCTCATCCCACTGGCTCGTGGGACACCAAGAGCTTCCTACGCAACAGCAGTACGTGCACGACACAATACAACGCATATACAACACACGCTCAGGACATGATGTCATGGATTTGAGTGTCCACGCGCTGGTTGCGGCGCCCCCAATTCAAATTGAATTTTCATGGGCTCGGGGCGTTGTATTGCACAATTCCCTGTTTGGGCAGAATCAGACCGTATAATTGGCCTTCCGTTGCCGCCAACTGCAGCAGTGCTCGTTGTTGCAACCCCGCCTACAGGCTCAGGAGCAACAGGGTCTAGTGTGCGTGCCACCCTGGAGGAATAAACTACAGTATCGGACGGACACAACACATATGCCTATTTAGCAAGGCAGAGAGTAGTGGAGCAGGCTCATCATGTTGGGCTGGCTCTCCCTTGCGTTGTACGCATGTCGTGCGGAGTTATGCATTGTATATTGTAGATCCGTGCGTATTGGCATCAAGTCTTGAACTTTTTGACACGGTGGTTACACAACATCAGCAGCGACACAGACAAACGGTGTTGACACACAGGCACATGCTTTATTTTTCTATCGTCGTCCCTACTGAACAAAAATCACTCTCGCGGTTGTTGTTACCTTCCATACTGCTGTCGCCCGTCAAAGCTAAGCTTCCAAGCGAAAAGGTGCTCGCAGGCCTATTTTTTCCTCTGGCCTCTAGATATTGTGGCGTGTCTTGCACTCCCTGTGTAGTAGACCTTGCAGCAACGCGAATAATGCGGAGAAGATAAAGACAGCGCACACGCTTGCTGCCAACGCTCCCTTTTCCCTCCCTCCCTGTGTGGAAGACCTTGCAGCACCTCGTACGTACGTATGCCGAGAAAGAAAAACCCATCGCGCACGCTGCCTTTCCCTTCCCTCCCTGGTACCACCCACAGGAGCGAGCGCTTTAAGCTGTCTTCAGGCCGATCCCGACACGCAGGATGGTTTCTGGCGTAACGCAGCAGCACCGGGGCGGCGGCGGCGGAGGCGGCGGAGGCAGCTCCATCGCCGCCGTCGATGGCAGCGGTGGAGGACCCAGCATTCGCTTCGAGGGCATCACCCTGGAGCTGTCGTCGTTCTCCGGCTGCCAGTTCGACTTCGGGAAGAGCGGGAACCTTGTCCTTAGCTTTAACGGTTACACCGGAACCGTGTCCCTCCAGAGCTCTTTGTCGTCTTCTGGGTCTTCCACGCCCAAGATTCGGGGCGAGGGTGAGAGCGAGCGGCGTGGGATAACCGAAGTGGTCTCTTCCCGTTTCGTCCACCGTGAAGTGGAAACGGACTTTGCTGCTTGTTGATGTTGTTGTTGCTGTTGTTGACTTAACCCTCAGAAAGCCGTGCCGGCCTCAGCTCAGTACCTTTTACACTCGTACCGGTTCAACTGACGTTGTCACCTTCGGTGGTCACAGGCCAATCCCCCGCCCCCAAGAGCGCATACACTTCTGTAAAACCACAGCGTAACGGGCGTGAAACAGATACTGTGACGGTAGCTTGGCCTACGGGCAGTTTGTGTCCCAACCTTATCTTGTTTCAGGGATACGCGTGGGAGTTTTTTTTTTCTGTGGCAACCAACGAGCGGGCAGAGGATTTCCATGCACGCACCCGCATTGCGACGACCTGGGTTTTGATTGGTCGGGGAGTAGACACGGGGCTCATCCTGCGCGCACGAAAACGTTTCGATTTTGGTCGGACGCACGGCTTAGATACGAGAACTGCTGTCGAGAACACGCCACCATTCTAGCGATCTACGGACAGCTGCCGCCGCCGTTACCACCGCCGCGTGCCGCATGACTATATCGCTCGTGCAGGCGCACGAGGAGCTAGAGGGTTTCAATTCCTCCGAGTTGAAAAGAATTCCCCTCTAGAGGTCGTACCCGCTCGCAACAACAAGCCAATCAACCCCTCATGTTTCCCTCCTCGTCTTCGCGTGCCACGATACTTTCCACCGCCACCGCCGCGTGCGGCATAACACGTGCAAGCGCACGAAAACCTACACAAACACCGCACGCAACGAACAACCAATCATCCCTCATACGTTTCCCTTCCCCCTCTTTTGCGCGTGCCACGATACTTTCCCTGGCTCCTCGACCCACCTCCGCCTCCGCCGCCGCCTCCGCCGCCGCCGCTGCAGCAGACAGCTACGCCCTCCCGCTGTGCTCCACGAGCAGCGAGGCCGGCTCCCTCGGAGTCCTAGAGGGCGCCGAGGCCGTTGCGATGGACCAGAGCGACTACGACATGGCCCTGTCCCAGCTCGAGCACGGGGACTCGCCCAAGTCATCCTTCTCGGCAACGGCGGCGGGGGCGGCGTCCACGTCTCCGACCACCGCCATGTTCAGCAGCCCTTCGGCGATGCGGCAAGCCTGCGAGGGTGCGCAAAACCCCGGCGGCGCCGCAGCAGCAGGCGGTGGTAGCGCAAGGAAGCAGCAGCAGCAGCAGCAGCAGCAGCAGCAGCAGCAGCACGCGCCGTCCCACGTTTCCCCGTCCAGCTCGATGAAGGGCGGCGGCAATGCCTCCGTCATCGGTCGGCAGGCCGCCAGCCCGTCTGCTGGAGTCGGTCCCCGCAACAAGCGGTCCTCGCCGTCGTCATCAGGCGGAGCAGCGGCGGCGGCAGGTACCGCTCCTCCTGCTGTTTCCCCGGACGCTCAGGGCCCGTCCACGGCTGCGACGACGACTGGCAAGCCGAAGGGTAAGCGCGCGCGGAGGGCGAGGGGAGAGGAGAGCACCAACGCTTCCGGCGCCGCCGTCGCCGCCGCTAGTAGAAGTACCAAGACGAACGCCGCCCGGGCTAAGGACAAGACGAAGAGAGCTGCCGTCGTGGCTTCGACGAAGACGGCAAGGGCGAAGCGGCAGCAGCAGAGGAAGGAAGAAGACTCTTCGCCGAACAAGGAGAACCGTCCGGCAACCAAAAGCTCCGGCGGCGGCGGCGGCGGGACTATCGTTGAGGCCATGGACGAAGGAGAAGAAGACGGCGACGACGCGCATGTACAGACCCACGTCAGCGATGACGGAAGCAGCGCATCCGGGGAGGAGGAGGAGGTGGAAGAGGAGGAGGAGGGAGGGGCGGCGTCCCCGTCTTCTTCCGCGGCCGCGGCGTGGATCGCCATCTCTTCCTCTGGCGCCGCCGCTGCCTCGCCGCCGGCTAGCCCGGGCCCGCTCAGCCGGTCAGCCAGGGCGCAGGTGTGCAAAGTTAACTTTTGCGTTGGATACCACCCCGCACATTCGATTCAAGTTCATCGTATTTTTCGTCCTGCAAGAATCGGCTACTTGGGTATCTATTTATGGCAAGCAAAGACGGTGAAAGTATCACAAACCAAACGACGACCCAGTTCTTTGTTTGTTTGTTTTTGTTTGTTTTATCAATGTCCCGACCTACAACGTGTTGACTACTTACCATGGGCATGTATGTCATGATAACAAATAAAACGGCCAAAATATCACCCACCAAATGATGACCCAATCTACGTGGGTTGTTTATCACATTTCCTGACCACTATTTAGTCACCATGGGCATGCATTTTGTCACAAGAAAAAAATAAAATAAATACCACACCCCAATAAGCTTCTCCCCGACCGCTACTCCTGTGGTCAGATCGTGGCAGGCGTCGGCGTGGGGGCCAGGAGCGGGGACGGGGGCGTGGGTCCCATGGGGAGGTGGGGCCACACGGCGACGATGATCTCGGAGTCGACCATGATGGTGCTCGGGGGCCAGGCGGACGATGATGCCCACCAGGCTACGCTCGGCGACCTCTACAAGTTTGACTTCGGTGGGTGGTGGTGCTGGTTTTATGGGGTCCTTGGTTGTTCGGTGTGGTGGTGGTGGTGGTGGGTGGTGTTGGTGTTGGTGGTGTTCTTGTTGCTGTTGTTGCATTTTTGATGTTGTTGTTGTCGTAGTTGTTGTTGTCGTTGATGGTGGTGGTGGTGGTGGTGGTGTTCTTGTTGCTGTTGCTGGATTTGTTGATGTTGTTGTTGTCGTAGTTGTTGTTGTCGTTGATGGTGGTGGTGGTGGTGGGTGGTGGTGGTGGTGGTGGTCTTGTTGCTGTTGTTGGATTTTGTTTGATGTTGTTGTTGTCGTACTTGTTGTTGTCGTTGATGGTGGTGGTGGTGGTGGTAGTGGTGGTGGAGGGAGGGAAGAGCGTTTGTTGGGGCATGCCGATTGTTGGAAGGCTATTTTTCCACCCGTTTGTACTTGTCACACAAGAAGGCGACACTTAGCTCATTTGTTTGCTTGTCCCACAAGAAGATCTTATCATATCTCGTTTGTATGCTTGTCACGCAAGAGAAGGCATTTTCTTAACTCATTGCCACACAGGAGTAGGCCTTGTCATAGCTCTTTGTCACACAGGAGAAGGCCTTGTCTTAACTCATTGTCACACAGGAGAAGGCCTTATCTTAACTCATTGTCACACAGGAGAAGGCCTTGTCTTAACTCATTGTCACACAGGAAGAAGGCCTTATCTTAACTCATTGCCACACAGGAGTAGGCCTTGTCATAGCTCTTTGTCACACAGGAGAAGGCCTTGTCTTAACTCATTGTCACACAGGAGAAGGCCTTATCTTAACTCATTGTCACACAGGAGAAGGCCTTGTCTTAACTCATTGTCACACAGGAAGAAGGCCTTATCTTAACTCATTGTCACACAGGAGAAGGCCTTGTCTTAACTCATTGTCACACAGGAGAAGGCCTTGTCTTAACTCATTGTCACACAGGAGAAGGCCTTGTCTTAACTCATTGTCACACAGGAAGAAGGCCTTATCTTAACTCATTGCCACACAGGAGTAGGCCTTGTCATAGCTCTTTGTCACACAGGAGAAGGCCTTGTCTTAACTCATTGTCACACAGGAGAAGGCCTTATCTTAACTCATTGTCACACAGGAGAAGGCCTTGTCTTAACTCATTGTCACACAGGAAGAAGGCCTTATCTTAACTCATTGTCACACAGGAGAAGGCCTTATCTTGACTCGTTTTTTGTGACTCCTGTTGCTGCGCGATATTCTATTAGCGACCGAGTCGTGGAGCCGGCCCGTGAACTGCGACAGCATCCCCCGCGCGTGGCACTCTGCGTCGTTCATCAAGGACAAGAACCTGCTCGTCATCTTTGGCGGGGAGAGGACGGTGGACGGCTGCCCCGAGTGCCTGGACGATATCATGGTGCTTGATACCGGTGCGGTGGCTATGTTGATGTTGTTTGTTGGTGGTGGTGGTGGTGGTCGTTGTTGTGTGTTGTTGTTGTTGTTGTTGTTGTTGTTGTGTGTTGTTGTGTGTTTTGTGTTGTTGATGTTGTTGTTGTTGTTGTTGTTGTTGTGTATTGTTGTTGTTATTGGCACTGTTGTGTGATGGTGGTGGTCGTGATTGGCGTAGTTGCTGTTGATGGCGTTGTCATTGATGTTGGATGCCAGAGTTCATGAACGATGGTGATCGACACCGTTGAGAGCTTTTGTCATTTGGACACACGCGCAGCGACGCCGGCTTATTGGTACATATGGCGCTCTCTTTCCTGACTTTCCTTCTCGGTCTCCCTCCCCCATCATCTCCGACCTACTGCATCGTTGCCCTAGACTCAAGAATCGACATCACAACAACACAACCCAGTGCCCCCGCTACTACTGCTGTCTACAACATATAGAGGAATTGACCTCATGTTCCCTCCAGACTATTTTGTACGTGTTCCTGTACACACACATCGTTGGTGTAGATTTTTTGAACTTGTTGCCCGTCTCTCGGTCTTTCCTCCCGTCCCGATCGATCGCATCTATGGCACGTGAACATGTTACAGATACCGACGTTCCACACACACCCCATCAATATCCTCCACGTCACATGAACATGTTGCAGAAATCGACCTACGTCTTCCCCCCCCTCCCAGTCGCCTCCATTGCACGTGATTTTGTTTTTGATATCGACCTCCCGCACCCCCGCACCCCCCCCACCTTCTTTCCAATCGCATCCATCGCTCGTGACGGTGCTGTACAGATATCGACCTCCTGTACCCCCCGGCGATCTCCGGCAAGTCTCCCACCGCACGGTCGGGACACTCGGCGGCCATCATCGGCACCGACCTCGTCGTTTTCGGAGGTGTTCGCGGAAGGTACACTGTCTAACCATCACACGGAATGTCGTTGTTGTTGTGGTCGTGGTTGTTGTTGTTGTTGGTAGTAGCGGCGTGGTGATGATGTTGTTATTATTGCCTTTTTTATTTGAAAACAGTGGTGGAAAGGGATGGTCGTTTTTTTTTTATTGTAGAGTAGCGGTGGTGAGTGATGTCGGCTTGGTGAATCGCCTCGCTGGTGTGGCGCTCCGTTGTTGTCGGTAGTGTATGAATCGCCTCGCTGGTGTGGCGTTCCGTTGTGGTCGGTAGTGTATGGCGATATCGATCGCTGTTCCCTCTTTTTGACCGTTCGCTCCTAGTCCATTCCTGTCCTCCCCTGGTCCCCCCCCCCTCAGCACGCTTTGGTAAGTTGCATTAGATACCACACACCCCCTGGACCGATTTGCAAAGCTCGATTACTCCACGACGAAGAGGATGCCGAAATCTCAGGATTTGTTTTCGGAAAGCTCTCGACCAGACGGTTCCAACGCCTCCCGCCATTGTCGGCACCGCCTCTGCGTTTCCTGCCGAGAAATCGAGCTTCGAAAAACGGTCCAGCGGGTGTGGTATCTTGCGCAACCTTTGGTGCGTCTCTCTCGAAGAACAAACGATTATTTACTCCGGCGCGTCAACGACAAAACACACACAACGACGCTCATGGAAAAACTCACATACATGTATCCGAAGCCCTTGTCGTACGGCCCGTGTCTCTTCTTCTGCCTTCAAAACGACGAAAATCTACGAAAAAGAATAAAAAAACGCGGAAAGTGGCAGGACAACGTGACAACAGTCTATTGAGAAAACTCACACCGATACGCAAGAGTTCCGAAACCCTCGTGTCTCTTCTTTGCCCCAAAAAAAAAATGCCGCAGGAAGTGGCAGAACAACGTGGCCGTCCTCGACACGGAGCGATGGCACTGGCGCCACCCGACCATCGACGGCTCCAACCCGGCACCCCGGTCGTACCACACCTCCACCGTGGTGGGGAACCTGATGGTCGTGTTCGGCGGGAACAACCAGAACGAGAGCTTCGACAAGGTCCACGTCCTCGACACGAGTGAGCGAACGAGCCTATCCCAGCGTAGCCTTTATTTGCCGGAGTGGGGATGGATGCTGTAGGTGTTTGTGGCGTGGTCTTGCTTGTTTTTCTTTTTTTTTTTGCGTGTCCAGTGAAGTGAATTGAAGGTGTTCTTGTCCGAAGTGGGATCCGTTCTATCCCGAGAAGGAAGCAATGGCTTGGTGATGGCTATAGGCTAAGTACCCCAAGCTCTTCGGTATCAATTAGAAAGGCTGAATTCTTTGGTAGCGAGCGCCCCCCTGACCGACAGAATCCCATCCCATCCCATCCCATCCCCCCCTGCATTTTTTTTTCTTTCTTTTATCAGGCAAGTCACGGTGGGTGTGGTCGACGCCGGAGGTTGTGGGAGTAGCGCCACCCCCCCGCACCGGTCATTCTGCGGTGCTCCTGCCGGACGGGCACACGATCTTCATCCACGGGGGATGGGACCCGGAAGACGAAGGAGGTGCGGTGTGTCTCCGTAATTTTTTTTTTTGCAGGCGGTAATTTGTTGATGGGGTTTGCTGTTGTTTTTACTAGGAAAAATATACACACACAGAAAGACTACCCGTTCGAGATATAGACTACCCACAGTCGAACGGGATGTGGTGGGAGTCTTTTTGTTGTAACTTTTTTGGCAAGACACAGCAGCAGCCAGCAGAAAAATATACACACACAGAAAGACTACCCGTTCGAGATACAGACTACCCACAGTCGAACGGGATGTGGTGGGAGTCTTTTTGTTGTGACTTTTCTGGCAAAAGACACAGTAGCAGCCAGCAGAGGAGATGTGTGCGTTTCGGTTGAGCATTTTGTCTCTTCTCCATACGCACAGAAAATCAGCCCAGGTTACGTTCGCATTGAATCCATCAATCAGTGATGCACGACCTACACTACCTGTGTTTCCACTAGTACATAATCATGCGTATTTTTTTCTCTGCAATCACGTGATCACAAACTGTACGTATCGGTGTGTGTTACTTCTTTTTCCTTCAGTTTTGGGGACGGAATATTTTTGGGCATTTTTTAATTTTCACTTTCGGGACGCAACATCCTTTTCTTTTTTATTTTATTTCAGGGGTGAAAAACTTCGGGGACGCGTACCTGCTAGACACCAATCTCTGGGAGTGGACCCGCGGCCCGGAATTCCTGCTGGGTGCCGCCGAGGCCGGGCTCAGGGTGGGACACACGGCCGTCCTTGCCCGCTGCAACAGCAACAGCGGAGGAGGGTGCGACGCAACAGCAGCAGCAAC